ATTTATGTAAATGAAATTCGAAATACGAAATTGATTTATTTAAATGTGTGTTTAACTGTATTTGAAGGCTGACCCACCTCCACATACTTGTCCACATAGTTCACATTGTCCTCCATCCTGAAAGAGGAAAGAACATCGCGGGATAAGGAACTTTCCAATCTTAAGGCTGACAAACACAACTCACTCGATGGCCGAGGTGGCAAAGGTCTGGATGTAGATCTGCTCCTGCTTTCGCAGCTTGGCTGTTGTCCTGGCCCTTCGGCGTCGCAGCAGCAGCATAATTAGTCCGGCCAGGATAATGGCAATCAGCATGCCGCTCATGACGATTATAGAGTTGCTCTGCGCGGAAAACAATTAAGAACGTGCAGGATTTTAAGGAAATCGAAATAACAGCTTACCACACTGTCGCCTTCGGTAAGCAGAACTGCATTGGCGGGCACTTTTCGCAATCAAATATTTAAATGTTGATTAAAGGGGATTCGCGGAGAAGTGAGATTTACTCACCTGGCACCTTAATGACACTGCGTGGTCCCTCGCATCCAGAAGGATCAACGATGACGACCTGCAGGCTGAGGGAGGTCTTCTCCTTGAGCTGCGTTCCCAGTGGCAGCTTCATGATGCCCTCAAATCCCTTGGCCGTTGGCCGAAAGTTCAGCTCGCTGAGTTCGTGGACTCGGGTCAGCAGGTGCTTCAAAACTCCGCCCCAGGGAAGCGAGGGGTTGGTCTCCTCGTTGATCCTGCAATTGGCAGGGTTCCATAGAAATTTTAAACAAAGAGCGCAGCTTTTATTATTTCGGGATTCTGGGAATGCTTTTGTTGACTTGGCATGAATTTCTCATATGTTTGGTTGCCAATTACATTTCATATATTTTTACATTTTTTAACGGAAAAACTATGATATTCACTTAAGATACTTTAAAGTCAAAATTCCATTGCGTAACCGCACTGTGTGTGGTCTTTAATAATGGGAAAACAACGTGCACATTATTTCACAGTTGCAATGCTGATGGTTCAAATATAATTGCTCCTTTTAATTAGTCCTTTTGCGTGATAGCTTCTGTAATTTCTCATTAAGGAATTCCACTGCCAGTACTCACTTCAATTGCATTTTGTAGGCCATCAACGTCTCGTGCAAATGGGATTCCTGCTCCTTGCGAAATTGCTCACTGGCCAGAATCGAGAGATTGATGCTGATTGTATCGTTGCTGAGCATTTTGGCCACGGGCAGCACCTTTGGCGGCGTGGGTGCCAATTGGCAGGAGCATTTGCCCTCCAGGCACTCTTTTGGGATTAAATAATGTAGAATACTTTGCGTAAATATAACACCAAACAAAAAAAAAAAAAAGAAATTCAAAAGCAATGCGCATAAGGTGGCATAAACTCATTTAATCAAAACTATATTCATTTATAAGTGTGCTATTGAAGCGAACATCTAAAGTTAATATGTAACTAAGCGTTGCTTTCGCGGTACTCACGTGGCACAAAGACGCGGGCGGAGCGCCTGACCATCGCGTTGGAGGTCTCCACAATGACCTGGTACTGGCAGCCGAACATGTAGTTGCAGTCCACGGACTCCACATTCAGGCTGGGATTGACTGGCAGGAGGACGAGGTGCGGCTCCGGACTGGCCTTCTTCTGTTTGATGCCGTACTCACTGCACGGCGCATCCGGACACCGGCTGTTGTTCACGGCACTCACGAGGACATTGTAGGATGTGCCTGCAATTAACGTGTTTAACGAATGCATAGTATCCCAAATCTCACAAAATGGCCTCTTTTACACGAATCAAACCTACACTTCCCTTAAAAGAATTCAATCTACTTTGTTTAAATTCAAAGTTAATTATTGTTTATTAATTTTATACCAAATTATACCAAAATAACATCAGAGAAAATCAAGATTTTATTATTAATGTTAAACATTATATGAAAATTGCATCTTAAAATAACTTCACTAAGAAAATTGAGCTGTAACCCGTTTTAAAAGGTTAAATAATTAATTTTAAAAAGGAAAATTAAAAACATACCATTTTGATAAAAATTATTTGTTAAATTTTTTTTGTTATGTAGTCATAATATTAATCTGAAAAAACAACATAACTCACCTTCCGGCAGGTTGTCCTGCCATCGCACCTGTAGGCGTGGGATCTTTTGCATGTAGAGCGTTACGTTGGTGCTAAGCTCTGTGATTTCGCCATCTGGAGTGGGCTGGAAAATGCAAATTATATAAAAACAGGAAGGGAAGCAAACTTCGGAAAGTCTAAGTGTATAGGTATACCCTTGCAGATAACAAAATTTCAATTTGTTGTTATATTTAAATAAAGATATTTTCGTAATGGCTGTTTTTTGCGACCTTTAAATGTACACAATTAATTCGAGATTAATCTTTATTGCATTGCCTAAATAAGACATGTTAAAGGTATGTAAGCGGATTAGTCTCCCTCTTGAAAACATGCTTAATAATCCAAAGCACAAGAATTATTGAAATAAACTCACGTTTAATCGTATCCTAGTAAGCGAGTCCGGAGTTTTCGATTCGGGTAAACCGGTTACATAGCGATGCACTTCCATTTGCATATTCCCTAGCGTCAGTGGCAACATTGTTGGATTGCTGGATGTCGTGCTGATTTCCCCAGAATCAGAATCAGAACCCAGGGCCTGAGATGCCCCCACCAGGAGGAAAAACAACACTATCCTATGCGCAATGGTGTTGGAGTGATGCATGCTGATCGGTGGGTTTCAACATAATTGGCAAAGTTTACTGAAAGGAACAGAAATGTCATTTATTTTGTTTTTAATTTAATTTTTATTTACAATCTGTCTAATGACAATAAGTAAATTGTATCACTAATATTTACATAATAGGAATAGTAGATTTCCAGTGAAACCTGCTATTAATTTAATTTCTCGTTTACTTAAATTTACCTATCAGGGAGACTAAGAATGTGGAAGTGTTTTTAGTTTTGACCAAATTGAATGAAAATCAATCAATGAATCAAAATACCAGGATATAATAAACATAGAAATAGGTATATGAATAAAATATTTATATAAACGTGTGGTGAATGAAAACATCATATTTTATTTCAATTCAACCGGAAATAATATATTATTATTGTTTATATTATTATTTGTATACAAATACAAAGAAGAATATATGATTTCGCTTCAATTAATCCATTTATGATGGTTAATAGGATGTAGGAAACAATGTCACAAAGTTGCTGTCGCTTGTAATTTGCGTTCGCACCCAAAATGTATACTCAAATTATGTCACTTAATACGACTGTAAACACCAATGGCATATGCCCACAGGTGGTGAAATGTTGGACACGAGTTGAAAATTGTGGAATTAATTAGATGTTTTTGGCCAAATTGAAATCAAGCCGCTCGTTAGCCTCCCCATTCGCTCACACTGAAGTGCTTATGTTGATTCGACCGACAATGCGAAGCCAAACTAGTTATTTTAAGGGTTTCCTCCCAAATCGGGAGAACAACATAATTGTGTACCCTTAATGTCGAGACGTTTGCCGCATTTAGCTAGAAAAGAATAAAAACTTTGCAAAGAAAAGTAGTACCATAAGTAGTTTGCACTTAAAATCAGTTGTTTGCCGAACGTCGAAAACCAAGTGAAACCTTTTCACAAGATTGCACTGCAAGTGTGCTGTCTTCCATCTAGTTATTATTATCGCAAATTTTGCCGTTGTAATACACATGTGTGCTTATTTGTCAAGATAGCCAGATGCAATTGTCCAATTGGTTTTATTTGGTCTACAAAAAGGTTGTGTAATTTGCTTGATTGTACATATTAAAGGTCAGCATGAACGCAATCAAAGGGCTGAAAATTATGCTTAACTTTCTGTGAATGTGATTTTTACGCCAAAAAGGATATTGGAATGCAAAAACATTCCTCTTGCGTTGTATTCATTTCGCTTGCTGCTTTTGCAGTTTCCTTAAAAGCTGCATTTGCAGTTTTGCAAATTGCTTAACTTTCAAGGAACTCATTTGCGTATTTAACTGAACACACAGTGTTCACTCATATATAATTTTGTGTAAAATGTTGTAAAACGAGAAATCACATAGAAGAACACATTTATGGAGAGTACTAATTTATTGTACCCCAGTCACAGTGAGAACTGCGAAATGTTGTATATTATTTTTTCTGTTCCAAACTATTTTTAATTAATATTTCCATAAGCTAAATACTACGAATATTTTCATTATTTATTATTCCCAGATTAAAACCTAAAAAACTGTTTAGTTCACTTGTCCTAATTGGCGGATTATCTTATTACACCATGATTGAATTCCAAAAACTTCGGCAAGAGGATAACAGGGTAATAAAATTCACTATTTGGCTTTTAGCTTCTGTTTGAAGCACTTAAACTGTTTTGCCCAATTGAATTAAATAGTTTTGCTAAATTACGGGAATTCCAGCTCAAAGGCTTAAGGAATTCTCGGAATGCAGGTAAATGGGTAGTGGCTGATGCACAAGTAGGATTAGGGGTCTTAAAAATAACTTGGCTAAAAACGTGTATTACATTTTCTACTGAAAAAAGTAGGTTAACACAAAAATAGGTTGAATCTAAAGCAAACTAATTCCAGCTCCATTACTATTTAGAAGCAATTAAAACTTTACGGAAAATCCTTTGTAAGTTGTGGTATATTTTCCATTTCATTTGTAGTCTTTCCTATTTTTTTGCACAACACATTTTCCGTTTGTGGGTTTTCTTTTTCATATCACTTGCTAACTTCCTTACTGGTCCTTTGCGTGTGGGGATAACGCTGTGGGGCTTCTAAACAAGAACAAAGCCAACATGGCTAATTGCCTGCACGACATTAGCTGATGGCAGGTGTGTTGTCGCAGAGAAGCCAGTAGTCGGGTCATAAATCAAGCTCTGTCTGCTCCGCTTTTTTTTTTATTGGTGGCTCCTCCCGCGGATTTGGTTTCCAGCTTTGTTTTGGTTTAATAGTATAGTATAGTAGAAAAGCCACGACCACTAATAATTGTTAGTCTGTACTTTATTCGCAAGGGGGTTTAGTCATAAATAGAGCGACCCTTGGTCTCCTCCAGGCAGACCACCACGTAGAAGAGGCAGATGGCGCTGACGGCGCCACAGAACCACATGGTGGCCGCCAGACCCAGGTGGAACATCATCAGCGGGAAGGTCTTCAGCGAGGTGAAGGCGAAGAAGCTGAGGCAGCCCAGACAGAAGCTGGTGGCCACCGCCCGGATCTTGTGCGGCAGGATCTCCACCAGAACCACCATCGTCACCGAAATGACGCCCACATTGGCTATGAATATGATGAAGGCCATCAGGGTGACGGGCAGCCAGGCGGAGTAGGCCGACAGATCCACCTTCTCCTCCTCCACATAGAAGGCGTACAATCCAAAGGCGGATGTGCCGATTCCACTGCCAGCACACGACACAATCAACAGGATCCGACGGCCATAGCGATCCACCAAATAGATGCTGGCCAATGTACCCAAAATCTGGACTGCTCCGATAATAATCGTGTTCGTGTTGGGATCCAGTTGGGTGTGCACCGCATCGAAGATATTGGACATGTAGTTGTTGAAGGCGAAGGTGCCCGTAAATATGTTGGCTATCATCAGGACCAAACCCGTGGCCAGGGCCTTCAAGGAGCGTTTGGTAACTGCAAAAATGTGAATTAATTAAGGTAAGCAAAAAAAGACCAATAATAATGACCTAAACATAGCCATAAAGCTGCCTCTACCAAATACACTAAGGAAAAATGACCTTAAAAATTAAACTAGGTAGTATTTATACAATTTTTTCCTAAACAGAAAATTTCGCAAATGCTAAAGGTGAACAAACAGTTTAGTTTTTAAAATATTTTTACTCTCTTTTTGCACGAAAAACGTAGCACATTAAAGCTTTGCTCTGTATAAATATATATGGTTGGCTCATCTTTAAAGATAAATGTTTAGGTCGTTATTTCAGAAATTATGAAAAAATCATGGCCAAGTCAAATTCTCTTACGGAAATCCGAAATGGAGAGGGCCTGGTCGTCGGAATCCTTGTTCTGCTGCCGGATGGCCAGTCGCATCTCGTCGAACTGCTTCTGATAAGCCCGCTCCTCCTCCTTGGACACATTGGGGCCATCGCAACGGCGATAGAACCTCAAAGATCGCTCAGCCTCCTCCTCGCGCTGCCACCTAATCAACTGCTGCGGTGGCTCGGGATACCGAGTGGCCAGGAACACGTAGAGGACGGGCAGACCCACCACGGCACAGGGTATCACGTGGTAGGCGATGTGCGAGGACACCACAAAGCCAACCATTATACCCGTGTTCATGGTGAGGGTGAAGAAGGAGCACAGGCGACCACGAATGCTGTCGGATGGAAATTAGCATTGGTGTTGAAATCAATTTGGCCCATTCATATCCAATTCTTCCTTTCTATTGGTTGCCACAGGTTTCCAATTAAATTTTCGCAAACGTTAGCAGGGAACTCTGTAAATCGTATTTTGCACAGCGTTTCGTGCTGTTTTTTTTCTGCACAGTTTTTCTTTATAGAGCACAAAAAAGCTGATGTACAATTGATTTTATTGGTCAACATATTTTCATTAGAAAATATTTTTTTTTAATTTGCCATTTGAATTGAATTTCATTTTATGGATTTCGATGCAGCTTTAACCAGCAACCTTTACATATTTGTGATGACTTTCTATGGAAAGCCAAAGTGGATTCGATTTTATTATATTTATTTAAATAAAAAAAAAAAATTTGTAAATCAAATGGCAAAATGAATTTAAAATATTTTTAAAGTACATTTTGTGATGGCTGTTCGATGGCAAACTCATGTAGCTCACAATGAAATGCGGCGGTTTGTTTTTTTGCGCACTCACCTGTTGTCAGCAATTTCACCGATGAAAATTGGTAGTACCACGAACATGCCACCGCCAGTTAGACCGGCACACACCCGGGCCACATACAACCACTCGATGCTCTGGGCGAAGTAGAACAGGAACCAAATGCACTGCGGATCGCAAAGGGACATCACACAAAGCCCCTGACATAGAGAACTGCGCGGAGACTCACCGTGTGGGGCACGGCCAGGGCATAAATCGACACTTTCCGGCCGAAGCGATTCATTAGGTAGGAAAAGGAGAAATTTCCAGTAATCCCGCCAATGCTGATGACGGCACCCAGCCAGGAGGCCTCGTGCACGTCGATGGAGAAGGTCAAGGGCGTGTCCGCGGGCGACAGCAACTGGGGCAGCATGGGCGAGAGCCAACCCAAAGCGATGCCGTGGCAGAACGTTATCAGCGTGGCTATAAGAACACATAGATCAACGAATGACATCAGCTAGCTCCCAAAAGGCGGGAATCAACAGCTCAAGTAGCTCATTTGCATAGGCACGCGTGAAATTGAATTTTCAGTCATCAAATTTGTGTCAAGTTTTTTGGGTGGGCTGCCATGTCATGTCCATGTCCTCCCCTGAATCCCACTTAAGCCCGACCAAGTTCTTTGTCCACAAAACTTGACATGGATGCAAAGAGCCGAAACTTTCCATTCGCCACCAGTTGAGCTGTAAATCCGTCTTATCTTCATTAACATACCACTCAAAGAGACCAAAAGTTGGCGGCGATACTGCCTCTGAAAGATGCCCGATTGGAATATGTTGAGGAACATCTTGCACTCGTCCGGGAGTCCGGGAGAATCCTTTAATTTGAACTAACTAAGTGTATTGGATACTTGAATCTCGTATATCACAGTTGGAGAGCCTCTATTGGGAGCAGAGATCCTAGTTTGCCATAAAGCTCGTGCGTGAAAACTTCCTGCTCTGGTGTCCTTTTTCCATGCTCCGTGTCCTTGAGGATTTTCGCGTTAACCCGAACAGAGTGACTCTTGTACGAAAATGGCTTGTGAAATAGACTGCGAAGCCCCATTTATACAGAATTCGTATCTAAATCTGTGGGTAAACATCTACTATTTCATCTAAGAAACAGCGAACGATTACGCAGTTTGTGACTCCCGAAGACAGCTTCAGATTAGGGAATATATCACGGCGATTGTCTGAATGTCTGGGTGGGCGGTGCCCAGAGCTGTTGCTCCGTAATGCCGGACAAACACCAAATGTAGTAAATCTTCCGGATATCTTAGACTTGTGTATCCCAAGTTCACGACTCGCTGGCAAAGGGAAATAGGTGTTCAGGTTTCGGTTCAGTTGTGACGTCGGCGACTCTTCTCGGTTGAAGTTATGTTCTTCCCTGACCTAGGTTTATTTAATTGCACTTCAAACACCATTTGCGCTGTTTAAATAATAGCACGCGCGCTTTTAAGGCGTCCGCTAATGTAAATTAGAGACACACTATTACGATGAGCAAACACTTTCGAGCGACACTGTAAAACACACACGTGGTGGCACTTTTCTTGAGCAAACACAAACAGTTTCAGGAGGCAAATCATCACAATTCCGGAAGAGCAGCATTAGATTACCGAAAAATAACAGCCATGAAAATTACACTTACATTTGTAAATAAATAAATAAAAGGATGATGAATAGAGACAAAGAGACAGCACATACACCTATGGGTAATTGATAAAACTTTTCTCCTCACAACACAAAACTTTTAATGAGAAATTTCGACATTTAATCAGACTTTCGGGGTCCAAAGTTAATGTTTTGTTGTGTTTTTCCCACATATGTAGTATATTTTATAGAGGGGCACTAAGATAAACACGTTTTTAGTTTATTGTCCTTTGTACAGATAACAATCAAAATATTTGGTTGGATATTTTATTGAACTAGATAATGATAATGATTCATTTTGCTTTGGTTTGTCAACAACTATAGACTATATAATTATTAACAAGCTGCAAAAGTTTGCATTTACGCACGATTTTTAAAAGATACAGAGAAAAAAATGCCAGTTGTCACATTTAGTATATAGGCTTTTGAATAGATAAGAATCAAATGACTGGCTTCGATTTTACTGCCCTGATAAAATCAGGATGATTTAGTATGGACTTTGATTTGTCAACAAGTCATGATTATAGCCGATGTTGGCCAGCAGAGTTCACGTACTCACATAACTATTCAGTTTTATCTTAGCAAAATTCAATCTCAACCCAAATAACGATTATCTCACGAGTCAAAAGAGAGCCATTAAATGTATTTGAATAAATAATTTTGTCATTTAATATCACGTTCCAGTTGGCAGAATGACTGACACATTTCGTTTGTATCCAGTTAGGGAAACCATGTTCCCCACACTTCTGACAGGCTCAATAAGATGACGCATTTTAGCCATTTCGGGGGGCAAACAAAGGCCATCTTATCTGGTTTGTAAGAGAAATGGAAGGAAGGTTGCCGAAAGTTTTTGTTTAAAATCGTGTGATAAGTCCAAAGAACATGGCAATCAATAAAAGCAGCGTAATGAGGCAGAGGACACCGAATTTTCCGATATTATGCGCTTAAAATAAAGCTTCTTGATAGCTGTGTCAGCCTTTTAGCGTGAGGTAGGTGCCCTGATTTCTATTCTGTCCAACCACCTGACACATAAAGCTCTGCAAAGGTGGTGAAGGCCAGACCAAGACAAGGGTTTCTCATAAATTAAATGGCTTGTGCTTTAATCAACTGATAAGTTTTGATAAGTGTCAGGCGCAGCAGACTTAAGGCCAGCAAACTAAATTGAAAACCCTTAAACTCTCAAGTTATTTTGAAGTGAACATAATTATTTCTTATATAATATAGTTTGGTTTCTGCCAGGATTAGACATAATAATTTTAATTAATTAATAGTTATTTATGGGTTTGCATTTAAGCCGTACTTATTAGGGCTTTTATTTATCCTGATAAATATCTCAAATACGGAACTAAATGTTTTCTTTTTTCCATATGCTTTGGAGGTATCAAATACAAAATATATATACCTGACAAGAGCAACGACTTTAAGCCCTTATCTTTATTGCTGTTCCTTACCTGAGACTGGTGGCCCACGTTTGATACGAAATATGTGTAGAAATTCGCTGCTCTTGGCTCTTTGGGTTTGGTTCGAATTCGGTCGCGTCATTGTACGGGCTCTTTTCTAATCGTTATCGCCCCCACTCGATTTATTGATAAGTTCAATTTGTTTTCCATTTCACGGCAACTTGAACAATTTGTTTTGGTTTGCGAATTTCGATGGGAAAATGAGCACACAGCTTTTAGGCGACGCAACCCCAACTAAATAATTTCTCTGTTGCCGAGGGCCAAATGTGAATTCTTCATGCGTGAAAGATAAATTATGCGTTTATGCTTATTTCAAAAAATGCTTAATAAACAATCGTCTTTATAGAGTAATGAGTAACTAGTTTATGTTTTTTCTCTGACTTTTTCGGCAGAGCCTTTCAATGATAAGCTGCCAACAAACGAAACAACCATAAGTGCTCAAAGTGGACTTTACACTAAAAATGAATGTGCACAAGCCATCTATCTGGCTGAGTCCATATATATATGTATGCCCATATACAATAACACTTTGAAAAGTAAACCAATTGGTCAGAGTCTATTAGGTTTATTTTTGAAATTTTAAAATAATAGTGGTCAATTTAAGTCAAAAAATGTAAGCCATTAGCTAAGAACAAACTGATTTTCAGCTTAAAAAGCCAAACATAATGCTTTTTGTTGTATAACCGCAATGTAAAAGAGACTTACTAATCGCTAAACTTTGGTTTTAAACCGCTGAATCCCACTCTGCAAAAATAAAACTCTAAGACTTTGGGTTTTAATTTTCCTGGATCTATTTTCCATATGCGGCAGCCTTTTAAGGCTTTTAATGATTGGGCCCAATGGCAACACTACTCGTTAAATAATTTATGAGATACTACGACGAACGCTATTATATACACCCATATTGAAAATACACCGAAGAGAAAATAATTGGACAAAACAAAAAAGGAGAGGAAAAAATAAGTTATGACGTCTGGCAAACATCTGTGTGATTTTTTGATTTATCAGGAATCGTTTGTTTTGGAACACGCTTCGATTTTACTTTTGCGTATATAAACAACACATAAAAATAATTTAAAACATTTTACGTGCCTTTTTTGGAACTTCATAAATTTTTTTTAAATATTGTTTTAAAACATCTAATTATTGAACGATTTGCCTTTACTAAAATATAGAAATTTGATTTGTAGACAGATTTTAAAGAAATACGTTACGCCAAATAAAAAAATATAATTAATTTGAAAAAGAACAAATTTGAATTACCTTAAAAATTAAAAGAATCAAAATTTGAGGTATTACATAAATTCCCCATTTAAGTTAATTCAAAGTTTTTGTAAAAATTTTAAAATATTAATAATAAAATAAATTATTTTCTGCGGAACATTAAAATATAACAAAAAAACATAGATAAGCTCTTCAAAATTGTTAAGTCAAAGTTCCGTCTTGTGTTTATATTACTTATTTTCAGAATTGTTGCCCTTTGATTTTCCTTATATAAAAATCCTTTGTTTTCTTTTTCAAATTATAAATTTTTCCGATTTCATGATGGCGCCTGAGGAAGGCCAAAGCACCCTAACGATCATCTCTTAATTTCAATAAAAATGAACTGGAAGGAGAAATTTATAGAATTTAAATAATTAAACCAAGCTAAGTACCATGCTCGAGCAATGGTCCTAGAAATGGGGTTGTTTGACTTTTTGCCTGCCATTATTTATCAATTGCGGCGCGTGTTTAAGTAGATTAAATGAGGCTACTTAATCATGTGCAGGGTATATATATTGATACTGTGCTGGAGTTGTTGTTGTTTTCGCCTTTGTTGACCATGCTCTCAATAATAAATAACATGCTTTTAAGCTGTAATAAAAAAACAGAGGTGAGAGATCTCCATGCCAGGTGTGAGCATGCTGAAACAGTGTGATAATTTTTAGTTCAATAATTAGTGGAGTAACTAAACTGACAGAATATATATAGTGCTATATACGACGCACAATCACAATCACGTTGGGTAAAAATGGCGGCACTTTGCTTATCACTTAAAGTGGCCGCTGCCAAGCCGAAAAAAAATTGGAAGCCAAAAATGGGAAAAATAACCGTAGCACAATCTAATAAAAATTGAAATAACCCAACGCCCCGTGAATCGAAGGGGGTAAATGCCATTTATGTTAGGTTCATTGCCAAAATGTTTTTCACATGTTCCAAAAGGGGGCGTGAGCATTGGCAATTACCTGGGTGAGAAACCATCGCCCCATCCATCTAGATTGATCGGAGTCAACTGGAATAACAATTGCGCCGTGCGTGTCGCAATTGAAACGATCATCAATAACGAACGATAAAAATAATGCACTGAACAAGAGAAATTACTAGGGAAGTTCCGAGAAATTCCTCAAGGCATGTGTACCCTCCCAAAAAATGGGGGCTTCTGCGTTATCTAATCGAGAACTTCGACGGCTTGAGCCCAGAAACGGTATCGTTTTGGAAACTTTTGTTTTGGACTCACCACTTGGCGGTTTACTCGGCTCCACTCGAGTATCTTTTGCGATTGTTGACTTTCCAGCTGATGGCTTCGGACGCAACCATTTCAAATTTTTGTTTACACTCAAGACTTTTTTAAATATTTGTTTTTCTCAACCCCTGTGCAGTAAACATTCACTCGTCGAATTTGTAGTTTTGGGGGACTAAAGAATAACAAAAAGCACAGGGAATTGTGGGAGGAGGTATATGGATATCCCAACACACACAGCACTTATTCGGACTATTTGCGAATTAATTAAATTTCCGTTAGTCCGTTTACACATTCATTCATATATTTTCACTTTTCGTTTACTTTTAGCTTAATATTTGCTTTAATACTTTTTGGATATTCGTTCAACATGAACTTATTTTCACAAATCATCTGCAAATGCTTGTGTTTGTTTTCCGTTTCCGTTGCAATAATCTTCACTTTAAATGCGCACAACTAGAAAACTTGATATTTGCATTTTCAATTCTTCAATTAATTTTTCTAATTTCAGGCATCACTTTATCACAATTTCAGTTCAATTTTGTAACGGATTTTTGTTTAAAACTTTGCCGAACGAAGCATCAAATCGTGTTTACCGGTAGTTGGGAAAAATCACGTAGCCGACGCGTTGGCCGACAGACATTGAAGCAACAAGCGTTGGGGGAAGAATGATAACAATTGTTAACTGCCAAGTGTTGCTTCTGCACCTACTGATAGCTTTTACGCAAAAGCTTCACTCCACGCCGATTTTTTCTGGTGCCGAAAGCTTCTACTATGTGTGTGAATGGCACAGTCAACGTCATATAAATGGGAAACTTTTTAATTTAATGTTATTATTTTGTGGCACTAATAAACTTAAAAACTTAAGATCTGACAGACGGACAGACGGACGGACAGACGGACATGGCTAGATCGACTCTCCTAGTGATGCTGATCAAGAATATATATACTTTATAGGGTCGGAGTAGTCTCCTTCACTGCGTTGCAAACTTCTGACTGAAATTACAATACCCTCTGCAAGGGTATAAAAAGGTGATTACTCATTTAATTGCCAATTGCTCAAGTATATTGCCTATTTAATTTAAGAACTATTGAAAACAAAAAACAAAGTAATAAAATTTTCAAATGCCATACATACATAATAACAATTAATTTTTGTAACAATATTTCTTAGGAGATAGTTTCTATTATTCGTAGATTAGGTTGTTTAGGACCGGAGTCCAGTTGACCAGTTCCTCCTCTTTGAACCATATAGCAATCTCCTTCTCGGCAGTTTCGACGGCATCCGATCCGTGGACTACATTGCGTCCGACTTGAAGGCAGTAGTCACCGCGGATGGTTCCGACCATTGAGTCAGCGGGATTGGTGGCGCCTAACATTTGGCGGCCGGTCTTTATCACATTCAGACCCTCCCACACCATGGGAACCAAGGGGCCAGAGGTCATGTACTGGCAAAGTTCCGGAAAGAAGGGCCGTTCGCAGAGCTCGGCGTAGTGCTTCTCCAAACACTCCTTGGTTGCCAAGCTCATTTTAAGGCCCACCAAGTGGAAGCCCTTCCGCTCGAAGCGATTGATGATCTTGCCAATGAGTCCTCGCTGGACTCCATCGGGCTTGATCATAATTAGAGTTCGCTCCTTATGGGCCGCAGTAGCTGTGCAAATGATGTCTTTGAACATTTTTCCAGATATTTTCATTTTTGATATAGAAGTTGAAAGCTATGGCAAATATTGACAGTTTTTAGTTTATAGTTTGTAAGGTTTTGTAATATTAATGGCTTTTCGATTAAGAACAGGGATAAAAATTACTTAAGAAAAAAGATGAAAGAAAATAGTTGATTTAATAAAAACACAAACATGTCTTACCAACATCTGCTCGACCATTAATTGGTTTTTCACTTTAAAATAATATTTTGAATTATATTTTGCCTTGTTTTTTGTTTAAGTCAGCTTTATAGACATGACACTTAAGTAGATATTTTTATTAACAACTTATATACATACCTTACGAATTTTAAATTTTACCGCCATACCGTTCACCGAAAAATTGAATGTGGCAATGCTGTAACAAGGTGGTGGATTTCAACAGCTGTTTAGGTGGATAGACACATAAAAACATCAATATTGCCAGACAAAATCGTTTTTGTTTAAATTTTAAATACAATTCATTTTTTAATAATTGTGTAGGATCTACCATTTCGCTAAATAAATTCCATAGATAAATGATTTATTTTATATATTTTGCCAGGCAGTTAGACTTTGCGCAGTTCAACAGTCATCAAAATAACTGGTTTGACTTGTTTTTTCGCCTGTTCTTTGTTTGGCTGCGACTTGTAATTGCCACTAGGAAGCAGGGCAACAAAAAAGTTCGGAGAGAAAAACCTCCCCATTGAGAGTTGTCTTAAAAGAACAGTAAAAATACAAATAATAATAAAAACACCCCCGCGGCGGAGAGAAGTGAACGAATCGTAAACAAATCCCATATGACAAGGGCGTAGTTTTATGAGGGGGTAGACAAGCAAAACAGCTGATAGTCGCTCTCCCACGCTATCTCTTCTGACTCTCTCTCTCTTTCTTTCTCTCGCTCCCTGGGAGAGAAAAAATCAGCTAGGTTCATATTTTTCAACTTTCCTGAATTCATTTTCATTTCGTGATATGCCAACGGCCGTTCAAGATCGCGCTCCTCTTCGGTTCCACAAAAGATATAGCCATCTATATAATTACGCGCGGTAATACTCAACCCAGTAATTCTGGCTGTGCGGGTGTGTGTGTTTGTCTAGTGTGTGTGAGCTGCACTCCCCTTATCAGTTGCATTGACACAGTGATAATCAGTCTGAATTCACCAATCGAACAGAATATTTTTGTGGTTTAGTGGGTTCTAGCCTTTGGCCCCTCTACGACGTCAACCCCCTTCCACCCTATTTTCGCCAAATGCCCGACCAGTGATAAGCCGCAAATAAAAAAGCCTTAGAATTTGATATACTTTTTGGTGAGAACTGAAAAATAACTACATACTAAACACTTAGTTGGCTAGCCTAGCGCAAAAAAAAAAACGCGGTACTACTACCAATAGCGAAAGACGAGGGAATGACAGAGGGCACAACAAGTCGACGGCTAGGCCAACACACATACACAGAAACAAATATCAGCTGCTTTTGAACGAACATCAAAAAAAAAAGTCTCAAATTAAGCAAGAAACTCAGAACGATTAAAAGTGCGTCTCAATTCTTCAAAACAAAGGCTAAAGAGAGCGGCGTGCTAAATATGATTTGCATCATAAAGAAGAAGCTTTGAGTGCAATAAGCAAGCGGTACACAACAAAATCAAAACATAGGGCATATTGATTTGCTAATTAGGTTCGTTTGAGTTAAAAATATAAAAAAATAGTTTGCTTGTGCTATATAAATTAATTTACCTGTAACTCGACATGTTATAGTTGAATAGATTTAGATATGTGCGAAATAAGTTCCTTAACTCGAAGTTGTTTTTAACTATGATCTGTTTTTTGAAAAGTTTGGGAACCAGAACAAATTGACGATTTTATTGCAAATATTAGTAAGCTGTAATAATGTCGGCTCTGATACTTATAGGCTGGACTAAATTAACTGTAGCGCAATAATCTGCCGTCCTCTCCCCTCCCCCGCAACGCTTGATCTTTGTGAGCGGAGAGGATCTCCCTTATTGTCGCTCTCTTTGTGTGGCAATAACAACAAGCATTGTTTATACCAGAGGCGGAAAAAAGGGGTTTGGAAATAAAAAAAAAAGTTTTTTACAAAAATATTGTTTATAATAACGCTTAACCAAAAAGGAATATAACTTTCCTTTTCATTTCATATATTAAAATGTATATAAAGCCCCCTTGAAAATTATAACAAGTCCACCCCTGCCAATTACTCTCTCAATTTACATGTGCTCCAATGTGTTAGTGGGCTATTCTTGTTTTTGGGGGCATGGTCTGATTAGCAACAGGCAACTGTTCCTACCCGATCGACTTTTTATTAAATGGGTTGTCTGCCGGTCTCCCAGAGCCCCGTACCCCCCAACGCCCTTGGGAACAGCTAGAAGCGAATGAACTCACACTGACAAGAGAGCGCGAAATTTAGATTCAAATGAGCAGCAGACACGCACACACTTGAACACCCGCGAAACAAATATTATTTATTCTAATTGCTTGACGCTCCTCAAAATTAACGAAAAAACAGGCCTACAACGAACGAACGGAAAGAGCAAATTAAATGGAGAACGCTAGTTGAAGACAGAGAGATAAAAGTGAAACCGAACATCAGGGTTAAGGTTATACGAAAAAGCCGAAAGATCAAAAGTGCTAGACAACTTATAAAAAACACGACATGTCTAGTTGGAGTTTGGCCAGTGCAGTGTCTCCAAATGTCACCGGTGGCGATGTCATTCGACTGAACAGTTTCAAGTCCAGTTCGGAGACGAGTCTGCCATCTAGGGGATCCGGTGGATATGGAGGATCTGGGGGACTACCTCGACCCACGACTCCTGTGCCCGGCAGGAAATTGTCCTCCAAGCGACCACCACACTTAACACTGAATGTTGCGGTCAAGTCCCACGATGCTCCGCTGGCCGAAACGGAGAACTCGGTGCTTTCGGCAAGCGCCTCCATCTATGGCACTCCAATGGGCGCCACACCCATTTCGTCACCTGCCGGTCACAGTCAATGGAGCCAGAAGAGCCAGAATAGTGACGAGAGCCGCCACAGCAGCAGCACCGCCACCAGCGGAGGTTCCATCTTCCCCCACGAACAGTACAAAACCATCAAGAAGATCAACATAGGATTCGAAAACATTCGCTACACCACCAAATTCGGAGTCTTCCAGAGGGGTAAGTGAACACTGTTTAAACTATTTAAAGATTCCTTTTCTGATTTTAATCAAAAGATTTTTATTTAATAAGCCCTTATTGTATGATCGTTATATGAATGGTGTTTATATTTATGACAATTTGAATTTTGTTGGTTGAGTCAAAAAATCTGGATACGACATTAAAATGGCTTTGTTCATATAAAAAACATACTAAATTCTGGATGCGAAGTTTGGTTTCCTATTGAAACAAAAGCTGTCTAAAGAGGCATTCCCCCCGGGAACAAAGAATTACTTCCTTGCACCCAGTCACGCATTGGTGGCAATTATAATTAAGGGTTAGGTTCATACGATACATATGAATATGTTAAAGTCCAGTAAACCCAATTAAAATTAACGACCTTTTTTGATTCTTTTGTATGAATTGTCAAAAATTAGTTTTTAATGAAAAAATAAACACAACAAATAAATTGCTACAATTATTAGAATAATTAACTTTGAAAGTCGTGATATTTGATGAGGTTTCGGTTCATTAATCTCCAGATAAAGTCATTTAAAATGTTTTTATAAGAGTTTCCTACATGCAAAAATTCGTTGGCTGTCTAAAGTTTTTTTAGATTAGGGTACTCAGATATTATTATCATTATTATCAGTTCTTTGACACTTTTTATTTTTGAGATTTAAATATTGGGCAAAGACCACCACAGAAAAGAATATGAAAATAAAATTACTTTCCTTTATCGGATATATGTATGTTACAAGCGAAGTCACTTTCAATTCATTATACTGACAGGCTGCTGATTGAACGAATCACTGGGTTCAAAGAGCCTTTTAAAATTAATTGATCAAAGCTTGGGCACATGCAGAAATAAAAGAAAGTTGCATGGTCAGGGCTAAATATGGAGGTCAGTGGTTTTTATCTTAATATAATTCACGGACCTATTTGCATATCGCCGAGTGTGGCTGCCTTATTGTTTGTTTACAATGTGACGATCCCTCAGCTACAATGCTGATAAGACCGTTCGCTTACAACATGCATAATAAATCCACAATCGTAGTTACTTGATACTTTTCTTGAATATTTTCGCTTATCAGGGATATAAGTTGGTACATTTACCATGTGACTCACGCAAGTGCGCCAATGATAAAAGGCATTAAGGCATTCCCCAAAAAGATATTTGACTGAGCAGGTGCCAAATCGAAGTATTCCAGGTGATTCATGGTCTGACTCATTTAAGTATCTGATTATGATCCTGTTGGAAATAATGACACGTGCCGCATGCCGATTATATGCACGATAAATAAATATTGTGGTTGGTGATTTATATGAACTCATGGCTGGCTGGGTAGTCGCGTACAAGACTAATAAAGTTAGTTTTAAAACAAATACAATTATTTCTCCATTCATAGATGCAACGCAAACTATAGATTCTTATTCAGATATGAAGCAAAACACAAATTCTTGAGTTGCTAACACAATAAGTTTGGTCGAAGGCCACTGCTTTGACAGCCAAGCATAAAATAACCTAAACTAGGCACAATGTTACTCGTGTTCCATATCTACAAACTACCTTTATCACCCTACCGCCATTGATAATAAAAAGTAAAAAATGTACATACAGGAATTCTTCAACGTTAATTTGTTTTAGATTATAAAAAACCAGTAGCCAGTGAAAGCAACTCGATATTTTTATATCGTACATAGATACAAGTATATGACCTAGATAAAACATGTGGCGGACATGTGATAGATACTATTATTATTATTATGGCACTGAGGACTACGAATAAAATTATAGGCATATAAGAACATAAAACGAAGAGAGTACATAAATATATGATAAAGCAGAATTCTCTGCTTTATAACAAAGGCGCAAGTGTTTTAATTGATGTCACTTAATGAAATATTTTTTTTGTTTTCTTGGATTTTACATTGTTCTTCTCATTTTTTATTTTTTTTTTTTAATATGATAACAAAGAGGATGACTTTGAAACCGACTTTAAAGATGAGTTAGGTGATTTAAAAGCGCAAGCTTCCTATTTTTTATTAAGAGATTGGCACGCTCCTGATGAAATTGTTGACAGTTTCCGGTACGATTTAATATGGAATTTTTCAAATGACCGGAGATCTCCGTCGTCTGGTGCGTGTTTAGTTATTTTAGGAGGTTTAAATTGATACTTTCGTTGTTTCACGCAAGCAGAATCTGTTATTATCTTATAAGTATATAAGTATTGTTTTATAGAATTAGTAAATGCTGAATTTTTTAACAAAATTTAATTTTAAAAATTAACATATAAATTAAAAATCAAAATGTGGACATTTTTTATATAAACGATAATATTTTCAACGCTCTCATTTGATTTAATTTACTTTTAACCACTGTAAATGTTAAAATACACGAAGATAAGGCTTGTTGCATTCTTAAAATTGTATTTAATTACAAACGCAATTATCATTTATTTTAACAAGGAAATCTTTCTAATAACTTTAGCTTAAAGTGACCTCATTTAATTTTAAACAAAAAATTCGTCACTCTTTGATTTAAACGTAATGTAATATAAAATATGGGAAGTGGTCAGACAATTGCAGGTGTTCGATGACCCGTTAGCACTAATGTATTTTATTGCATTTACTCGTAATCCCCCGTTGCAAAATGCAGTACCAAGTACAAGGACATCGCCAAACATTGATAAGGCGGACAACTCCAGCGCAGCAATGGGAATGCAATAAAAATCGCTCGTTGTACACCTGTTGGCCCGGTGATGGCCCTAGTTCAACATCTGGCCCATGGGCATTAAAACAATACTTAAAGGTAGTATAACAACGAATTTGGTCATAGAACTCACTGCGATAAGATTCGACGACGGAGTGATTGATAAGTGGGCGAAGAGACCACTGAAATCTAAATTGCCCAGTAGCCCTGGCTAATCGACAGATTAACTGGCCAGTCGACAATCATAATGGGCGACTACAATGTAGTTGGCCCAGGAAAAAGAACCTCAAACAAAAAGGCGATCCAATCTACTAGTATATAGAATTTAAGGTTCTTTATGGCACTATCATCCGTCAACTTGGGAGCTCAGAAAATGTGCAAAACGAGATTAGAAAGCATTGAACGGCATTAATCGCGGAATATGGGATTTGCTTATCACTGGGATGAACGAGTTTCAATGTGAGAATGTAGGACACCCTACAATTAAAACTTGTGGGGCACACAAATAAGTAAAAGTCATTGGGGCCTCTGTTTCAATTCATCAAAGAGCTACTCGATACTGTAAAAACTAATTCATACAGCGTTTTATACTGTTTTTTTATAGCAAATAAAATACTATACTTAAAATAACAAATTCATGAACAATTCAATGTACTTCTCATGCCCTCGACCATGAATCAACATTCAAATGAAACTTTTTACCACCTTAAGTAAAAATTCAACTAACGTCATCTATTGAAAACTTTTTAGTTTTATTTTAACATACTAACTAACTAGATTATCAAATTAAGCTGAATTTCTTGAAAACTAAAATGTGTCAATGATTAAGTAACTTTATAGAACCGGCTCAGTAATCAATTATAAATCTTGAGAATATATTGATAGCTTTTTAGGGAATTTACTTTTTTCGAATTGAAGTATATACCAAAATTAATTTAAGAATTATTATTAAATATTTCCACAGAAACCAAAGATGTACTTATGGGACTAACAGGCTACTTTAAGTCGGGTGAGCTGAGTGCCGTTGTGGGACCGTCGGGAGCTGGAAAGAGTACCTTGCTCAATATCCTGTCTGGATACACGTAAAGTAACCCCGGAAATAAAACTTATTCCCAATAAAGCTAATGGGCTTAAATATTTTATTTCAGAACCTATGGCTATACAGGCGACTTTCGCATCAATGGCAATCGAAGGGATCTAAAGGCCTTCAAGGCAAACGTTGCCTTCATCCGCCAGGATACGAGTCTTCAGGCCTTTCTCTCCGTCAAGGAGGCAATGCATTTTGCGGCCAACTTAAAGATCGGCACCCACATGACGCTGAGCGAGAAGAAGGAGCGGGTGAAGAGCATCCTGGTGGCCATTGGAATGTACGAGAATCGGCACACGAGGACGGGCCAGCTCAGTGGAGGTCAGAAGAAGCGTTTGGCCATTGCTCTGGAGCTGGTGAACAATCCACCTGTACTTATACTGGATGAACCAACAACGTAGGTTATTTCTTCTATATTTATACATTATAAAACTAATTGAAAACTTATTATGTTTAGGGGCCTGGATAGTTCCACCTCCAGTCAGCTAATAAATCTGCTCAAGAAACTCGCCCTCGAGGGGCGAACAGTCATCTGCACAATCCACCAGCCAAGTGCCCTGACCTTTGCCATGTTCGACCATCTGTATGCCATTGGCGAGGGCCAGTGCATCTACGCTGGCGGAGCACAGAACCTACTGCCCTTCCTGGGCGCCCTCAATCTGCACTGCCCGGAGTCCTACAATCCAGCGGATTACTGTAAGCTCATCCTAAAACAATTATTTGTGGGAAAGAATATGCTCAACTATTGCCTGATCAACAGTAATGGAAATAGCCACTCATGACTATGACACGGAGGATGACAACCAGCTGGAGAAGCTGGTGGCTCTGATGGACAATGGTCGTAATGAGGACTACAGACAGAGCAAGTCTGCCCGAGTGGCGCAACTGGCGGCCATGAAGAAAGTTGGTGAGACAGGGGGATACAATTTGAAGTGAACATAATGGGGAAACCTAGTTTCGTATACTTTCCAGATCAACTAATGGCAGCGGGCCTAATGACACCCGTGACGGCTCCTGTGATGTCCACATGTGTGCCACAGCATTTCCCGCAGGGCAGCATCTTCAAGCCACTCACGCCCATCAATGAACTGTCTTCCCGGGTGTGGGACAGTCAGACGGCGGGAATCGGAAGCGGCGATGTGGGTGGAAAGTCCGCCGGAAGCTGCTGCAAGCCAAAGAAAAAGAAGAAACCCAGGCCAGCACTGGAGTTAGATCCATCGCATCTATGCAAGCAGCAGAACATCTATGCCACTCCATTCTACCGCCAGCTAAGCATCTTGCTGCTAAGGACCTTCCTGCTGATTTGGCGGGACAGCTCGCTGACCACAATGCGGTTCGCCATTCACCTGGTCACTGGGCTGCTGATAGGCACCCTGTACTTTGGGATCGGCAACGATGCCGCCCATACGCTGAATATCTTTCGATACCTCTTCTACACGATCATGTTCATCATGTATTGCGCGTTCTCGGGTATATTGGTAAAGTGTGAGTATGAAAATCTAGTGAAATTCATAGTATTAAATACTAAATATTTAAATTTAATAACCTACAGTTCCATTGGAGTTCCCCATTGTGTCGCGGGAGCACTTCAATCGCTGGTACTCCCTGCGAGCGTACTATGTGGCCATCACCCTGGCGGATCTGCCCATCCAGGTCATCTGCAGTGCTCTGTTCATCGTGCCCACCTATCTGTTGACCCAACAGCCTTTGGAGCTCTGGCGGTTTGGCCTCTTCTTCCTGATGGTGTTCGTTACGGCTCTGGTCTCGCAGAGCATCGGATTGGCGGTGGGAGCAGCACTGAGCCTCAAGTTGGGCTCCATCCTGGGTCCCTTCTTCATCTGCCCGTTCCTGCAGTTCAGCGGCTTTTTTCTGATGGAGAAAGACGCTCCGGTCTATATGCGCTGGATGTTCGACATTTCCTTCCTGAAGTACAGTCTGGAGGGATCCATGGCGGCCATTTTTGGATACAATCGAGACCGTTTGGTCTGCGAGGAGATGTATTGCCATCTGATAGCACCGAAGCACATTCTCAAGAGCCTGGACATGGCCGATGCGAACTATAGTTTTGCCCTGATCGTTCTACTCGGCATTTTGGTCTTCCTGCGCATCGTGGCGTTCTACATCATGTCCTTTCGCCTAAGATTGTTCAGATGAGGCACAAGAGATTCAAGGGACCAGATAAATACCTGCCACATTCCGCCGACGGTTAAATGTTTTACTTTTAAATTTATGGTTTCTTTTTAAGCATTTATTCGAGAGAAACCTATGTGCCAAAGATTGAAGAAGCCTTTAGAGCGTAAGGAAATCGTGATATATATCTGAAACAAAGGATTATAGAGCTCTTAATCACACACACACACACACACTTACAAAAATACACACGGCAGTTAACGAGATCAATAACTGTAAATAGAACATTTTTATAGCATAGCATATAAACAATTGTATTTTTGTATTGTATTAATGAACCCATTTATTGACTAGTTGTAACACAAGCCTGATTTTCAGACTTCGGCTGCGAGTATGACTTTGAAAAAATATTATTAAAAAATATTTTTCCATGAACTTAAGAGAGTCCCTTTTTTATTGTCTTACTAGCTTAAATTCCTTATTTCCTAACACTAATTGACTGGCACTTCTTGTTGGTCATTAAGAAATAATAACTTAAAGTTAAGTTTTTTTATTCTAATAATTTCCCATAAAGCTGTTAAGCATTTAATTGTTTTTGCCCTGGGAGTTCATGAGCTGCAAGGTTTAAAAGCGTTGAACATTTAATTATGATTTATAAATTCAAATATGGAGGGCATCATTGCGGAAAATTTTGTTATGGGTCTAGACTAGTATTATCCACTATCCCAAAAGTATGCTATGTTTTTGAATCCAACTTGGATGCAACTTGAAGTGCACCTCAAACATGTTGCCAGATGAATTACGATTAATAGCAGTTGCCGGTTCCGACTGAAAGCAATTGAAATCAGTCGCGTTTTGAATATCAACAACAAGTGGTCGACCACTGGCGGATCGCCATAACGCCTGTATCTGTCGTCCGGTTAATGTGATCGCGACTTGAAATCTTAATTGACGGGAGCCGCACAAAAAGAATAAAAATAAACACAAAGTCGTTGTGATATAAAATCAATCGAATAGCAATAAACATTCAAAATTGTAAGCTTGAAGTTCTTGAATGGAAAACAAATCTGATTTGCAGTTGAGGCAGATTTCTGAAACCTGTTTGTCAAGAAAATTACAATAGAAACTTGATTAAAATTATATCGGATTATTCAGTGACTGCTGCAAATGCAGTTTTTCCGGGTAAATGGAAATTAGTGATAAGCACCAGCTGTTCGATAACTGAAATGAACAAAGCCAATTCTAATTTCTAGTTTCTATTATATTACGCAGTTTGGTCTGTATAAAAGCAATGTAATTGGGTGTGTGCTATCAGCGGTCATTGTTTCGAGCTGAATACTCTGGATCAATTACCCAGCGCCCCCGGCCAATTGTTAATTTCACTCTCTAAAGAAGGTCATTGCCAGTGGCAGAAATAGCTGCTGACTTTTAGGCGCAAGTTGAAAAAAGTTTTCTAACCATATTTGTTAGTTTATTATGTTGAAAGTAGGTAAAGTTTAAAATTACTTGAATTAACTAGCTTAAATTGGGTATTTGCATTGAGGAATTATTTTTTTTAGTTCGCAGTAATATTAATAGTCGTATCTCCTTAGCTCTCACTGCTGAATTAAACAGCCTACTTGTGAACAACTCGACTGACCTCAGACAAGATCTCATCAACTCAAAGTGGGTGGGAGAACTGCAGTGAGTTCGCTGTCGAACACGTTCGGTTGGACGGGACGACCTTGATCCAATCCAGTTAACCCTAAGCGATAAGATTATCCGCGATCCTCCTAACCGGGCGTTCGAACGATAAGTGAAAGCTTCCAAAATGTACCAGTCATTAGCCACACATTTGGTCTGCATTTATTAAAAGTTTAGCATTCGAGCGTTCAGTTCACTGGGATCTTGACCGGCTTAATGTTCAGTACCCCGCATAAATAAAACTGAATAAAATCAGCTGTGAGCACGAGTATCTGCCTTATAAACAACAATCAGCCGCCGTCTAATGGCCGATAACGCGGTACAAATTCAGGCGAATGGCCTGGCCCAAAAGCAACAGGCGCTGGAGTTGCACTTCAGCCAAGTTAGCTACTCATTGAAGGGATCTACAAAGAGTTCCACTCCCATACTGAACGAGGCATGTGGTGCGTTTAAATCAGGACGGTTGACGGCCATTCTGGGTCCCTCGGGAGCTGGAAAATCCACATTGCTCAATGCCCTGGCAGGTTTCAAGTGAGTATACTATATTTTCTAGCCAAACAATATAATACTACTTTTATATCTGATTTCATATATTTGTCTCCCTTACAGACTCCAAGGAGTTTCAGGGCAGTTCCTCTTGAATAGCAAACCCAGGGATATGCTGTCGTTTCGGAAAATGTCCGCATACATTGCTCAGGACTTTGTGATGCTTAACCTCCTGACTGTCGAGGAGACATTGCGCGTTTCCGTTGACCTAAAAATGCCCAGTTCCACAAATCCCCAGGAGAAACAGAAAACTGTGAGTGGGATATATCGTACACAAAAATATAAAGTGCTGACACCATCATTTCCAGATAGACGACATAATCGACATACTGCAGTTGCAGTCCTGCCGTCGGACTTTGGTAAAGAACTTGTCTGGAGGCGAACACAAGCGTCTGTCCATTGGAATTGAACTGGTGACGAATCCGCCCATTATGTTTTTCGATGAACCCACCAGTGGCTTGGATTGTGTGGCCAGCTACCAGGTTATTTGCCATTTGCAAAGATTGGCCCACGATGGCAGGATAGTGGTCTGCGTGGTCCATCAGCCCGGTTCGCGACTTTTCCAACTTTTCGATGATGTCCTGGTCTTGGCCCACGGCGAGGTTCTCTATGCCGGCGAACAGCGCGAAATGCTGGGCACCTTTGCAGGTTCCGGTCACATCTGTCCTCAGTACTACAATCCAGCGGATTTTGGTAAGTTCTTGGGGAGGTCTAAAATTAAATATTTAGTATAACTTTTATTATTTACAGCCCTGGAAGTGTGCAGTCAATCGTCCACCACAGAGCGCTGTGAATCGCTCATCACTCAAAACAAGATGATTTATTGCAACTCCAGCAATGTTGTAAAGTTGCAGGTGGATGAGGAGAGTAAGTGATGATGGTTGGGAAGGTTCTTAAGATGGTTTATCTTATACAAATCCTTTTTCGCGCTGCTGCACTCGCTTATTCTTTACTGCACTTTCTCTGCTGTATCTTTCGCTTTTCTCTGCCTGCTCTAATTTTATTCCAGCAGCATTAATGGATGTCCATCGGGATACTTTGGATATGAGCCATCTGCGTGGTAAGGAGCAGGTGGGCTTCTGGTTCCAGCTGAGTGTGCTCCTTCGCCGCCATTTGCGCTCCATGTCTAGGGACATGGTGGGTTAATTCTAAGAACTTTTCTTAAAGACATATTTAAATAATTTTTTTATATTTTTCAGGTTGCTGTCCAGATGCGTCTGTTGATGCACGTGGTGGTGGCCTTACTCCTGGGCGTGGTCTACTGGCAAATAGGCAGCGATGCGGGCAAAATAGTATCCAATGTATCCTGTCTGTTTTTTGTGATCCTGTTCGTGTTCGCCGGCAACGCCATGCCTTCGATTCTACTATGCATGCAGGATTCGGCGGTGTTCATCAGGGAGTACTACAACGGATGGTACTCGCTGGGAGCCTACTATATCTCCAAGGTTCTGGCCGACTTGCCCTTGCAGCTAACCTGTCCCACAATGTTCATTAGCATCGGATACTTGATGACGGGACAGCCACCGGAGCTCCATCGATTTGTCATGTGCTGGGGCATCTGTGTGATGACTGCGTTTATTGGCCATTTTATTGGGGTTATCGCGGGATCCCTGTTCACCATGCAGTTGGCCATTTTCCTGGTGCCGAGTGCCACGATTCCGTTCCTTCTGTTCTCCGGCTTCTTCATCCGGCTGAACGAACTCTCCTGGTTTCTGCGTCCCATCTGCGATGTGTCCTTTTTCCGATACATCTTCGAGGGTCTGATGAGGGCCATCTATGGATATGATCGCGGGGAACTGGAGTGCCATGCCGCATTGAATTTCTGCTACTACAGGACGGCTGATCAGTTCCTCAAGGACTTCGATATGCAGGGCGATGAGTTTGCCTGGGATATGGCTGTCCTGGGTGTATTCGTGATCCTCCTGCTTCTCGCCTTTTTTGTGACCCTAAGCACGGTCATCCGACGAGCACTTCGGTGATAAGATTAGTTCGTGACCTGGGTTTACAATTTATTTCAATTTAAATTCAATAAATTTTCGGGCGGACAAAAGATTTAAAATAATATATTGTTATAAAATCACTGAATAATGTGCACAGCCCTGGTATGGAAATATGCCGGAAAATCGCGGGAAAAGCTTTGAGACCGTTTTCTCCTACATTAGCCAAGTCCCGAACCTAAAATACTTTACTTTTAAAACAGGTTTGAAAAGAGGCTGCAACCATTTATCTAAACAATTCTATGTGATTATGTGCTTATTTGTTAACTTAATTATCTAAGTGGATCTGTTAACTTTTCAATTTGTTAACTTTGAATTAAATGCAGACCTTTGAATAATCCACAATTTATTATCGGTAAAGAAAGCATACAAAATGGAGAGAACAGGTTGAACTTAATTAGACTGTGGTACCAATAATAAAAATTAAATTTAATATTTGTAAATGCAATCATGCTGAGGTTCAATAACCTTAATGCGGACTTTGTTTAAGGCTGAGCCAATTGTAAGAACTTGTTAAACAAACAATATCGCCTTAAAGTTAGTAATTTAATTCCAGCAGTAATTTTCAGTTGGTAGCCATTTGCTTTAATCTCTTTGAAGTTGTTTCAGACTGCCGACGTATTTTCTGGCACTGACATAATTCCAGCCTTGAAAGCGTCGTTACTTGCAGCCAAAACACACACAGACGCACTCAGTCACACACACACAAGCACGCTGCTATGTAGTATATAGACAAGGACATCTTGGAATTTTGGCTGACTTACTGCCGCTATAGTCTGAGGTCCCCGTAGCCTTTCTGCATCTTCGACACTTTTGGGCTTTGCTCCGTAATGCATTTTGCCAAGCTTTTTTGTACCCACTGCGAAACTTCCGGCGCGGAGTGGAAGCGGAAATTCCATTATTTTACCCGCAGTCATGTTGCAAATAGATAGCAAATTCGTTTAGAAGCATTTCCCTCTGAGCCATGCACTCGTAAGTGTATGTGTTTGGCTTGTGAGCAAAATCAATTAGTGTTCTTCGGCTGGGCAAATCCGCCCAATTTAATTATATGTAATGAGTAACAACCTGTAAGCCAGAATTTAAGTCCTCAGGCAGATAGGCTTCTATGTATCATTCATATGTCTCTGTCGCCGTACATTAAATCAATATAAATTACAAACAATCCCGGCAGACAGCAAACATTGGCAAAGGAATACGAAATTTTAAAGCGGATCGGAAATATCTGCAAAATTAAAGCTACCAATTGAAAAGTTTTGGACCTCTTTTTGTTGGCAAAAGCATATGAAAAGTTTTTGGGCCCAGTAAATCCCCAATGACCCAAATAGAAATGTTGGCAAACTAAAACTTTTTTTGGGTGTGAATGTGAAAAATAGAGACACGAATTCAGATTCACAGCGTAGGTGGAAGTGTGTTAAGTACTTCTGGTCAGTGGCAAATGTTTCGATAACGAAACAAAAATATTTAATTAATTTCGAACAAAATTTGATTGGTCCGTTACAGGAAAAATAACTTATTTATAAAACATCAATATGGAATTAAAAAAAATGAAGTTCATCTGATATCAGGTCATATAAAAAATAGCTTACATGGAACTATTAATTTAAGAGCTTAATTTGGTGGTAAATTGAACAATTATAATTTAATATTTATAAATTGTATTGTTATTAATGTATAATCCTTTAACCTGCACATCTGTAAGCAAGCCCGCGGCTGTAAATAAATGTTTTACCACAGACAAACAAATTGCTTCATGCAACTTTATAAATGATATCACAAACTTGCCATGTTTTCGCATAAATCAAATCCAACATATATCTCCGAATAGTGCAGAAAACTTTACGGGCAAAACACTTTTGTTTTTATTTTATTTATTTTGTGGCTGCCCCAAGACGTTGCATGGCACGCCCTCACCTCTGCACCGCCTCCATCGCAAGAGCCCAGCAACCTTGGCAATTTATGTGCTACACTTGTTACACATACGACATGTTGGACGTGAGCAGCGGCTAAGACAAATCGATTGCTGTTGCCGCTGCACCAGCCACTTCTTTTGTGGCACAAACAATGGCAAGGGCATAATTTATTGAACACTTTGTAGCACTTGCCACCGCCGAGCGACAATCGGACTTCACCTCGGTCTCGGGGCAGATAAACATTATTTTAAATCATATCATTGAGATTTATAAACCCTATTTTTAATAATTTCATTGAGATTTATATTTTCTTTAAGCTCTGGAATTAATTGCTTCTCTAATTAATATCCTATGAGCAATTATACAAAAAATCGTAAAAAAAATAAATGCAGAAAGTTTTCATTGCTTTCTATCCTCGTATACATTCAAAGGGGTCAAAGGGTGGACTTGCAGAAATATGTGTAAATGGATTTATCCAACCTTTTTTTATTACTCTGACTGTAATTATGTTATCAAAGCCTAAATCAATAAAATTTAAATTTACAAAAAATGTTTTTTATTTAACCAACGGTTTATTGATAACCTTATTATTTGGTAAGCTTCGCCAGGACAAACGCATTTCTGGCATGCCAACAATTTTGCCCGCCATCGGATTATTAATGGACTATGCGCATTTTGTGCACTTTATAATTTATTTCACGCCATTAATGAAATTTTAATTGTTGCAGCCAGCGCAAACAAAATGTCGTAAATTTTATTGACACTATATGCGAAAAATGAAAATATAATGAAGTTTTCGCACGTAATTACCAAAACATTTATTAAGTTTATGGACTTTACCATGGCTGTACATGGCAATATAAAATGCTTTGAACCCGATTGTAACTGGACCATTTGAAAATGTCTGAAATTTTAGCAGAACAAACAAGACCGACAACAAAGGAAAACCAAGGAAAGTAAGACAATAAAAATGAAATTGTTTTACAATTGCATTCTTTTTGCATGGCTAGTTGTTTTATTTGCTTTGGTTCTCTATCCCTTCAATTGCATCTATCTTCAATGAAATGTGAACTATTTTTCCAGTTGGGGTGTTATTAGCAACTACTTTTTATTTTAAGCAGACTTAAATGGTGGGACTTTTGCACTGAAGGATTCTATAATCAATGTTCATCACTATGGCTAAAAAATGCTATTTTTAAAGGAACATTAGGAGTATTTATTTACTAAAATAAATGTTAAGTAAAATGTATTTTAATTGTACATTATGTATTCCTTTTATTGATACCACAAATGTTAATCAACACATATAATAGCCGTTATTGACTTTTTTTTACCAACAATGATACTTCGTATTCCGGAAGTGAACTATCCTTTGATTTACTTCCGGTGCCATTTAACCACCACACACAAACAACGCATTTCCGGTTATGAATGCAAGTTCGGATTTTCAATTCGATTGTGTGTGGCTTTTGTGAAATGTTCCCCGTTGTTTGGCTACTGTTCAAAATGAAATTGTATCCTGTTGGCCGAAAACTTACATAATCTAAGTGCAGAGTTTGCAACAGATTTTTATTTCGTCCTACACTATGCCACGCTGACAAATCCCCATTCGATGAACTTTGTCCAGAAGTGTTGGTGGCTTAACTTTCAGCTGGACATTAAAATCGTTTCACCGGCTTCTAACGGCGTTTTCTCCATTGCCATTTGGGTTTATTTTTAGCTGTTTGTCAGTTTGCCTGCCACCCACACAAATTGTGTCATGAGTAAATATGGAAATCCTCAATCACAACACAGCAATATTTCGCCCATCTCCATTTGTTTACACTTGGGCATTGTGGCTGCCAAAAAATTCTATTTTGGTTAGTCTTGCGGTTTCCCGTGCTGGCACATAAATATGCATGAAGATGGGATGCGGCAAATGTATTTGCATAATGGATATTTAATTGATTTGGGTCTGCAAAAATAATCAAAGATTTATGTTCAATGACCAGCAAATAATAATGTTGTCGTTGCTCATCTTCAATTTATAAGGATCTCTAACTAAAATCAATTGTAAAGCACAATAAATACTGATTGACTGTAAATTGAAATAAAATGATGAAGAGACGAATTAACTTATTTGTCTTATTTATGTAATTAAAATTTTGAAGTTTAAAATATATTAAACTTTGAAGCCAAAACTACTGACGAAACTACTCAGTGGGGAATAGTTTATGTTAAATATATGTTTGTTCTCCAACTCAACCCCAAAAAATAAATCTACTTGGCCATAACTTTTTCTCAGTACACAGTACTTAGTTCGGATTACATTCTCTAAAAAGGGCAAAAGGGTAATAAAATCTGCTTATGCTCCTTTTATGGCGGCCCAAGCTGCGAAATATCACACAGCTGGAACCATGGGGCTGTGCTTTCTGGCATTTCTGACATTCACTTTTATTGTGCGAGTGGTTCAAGGTCTTGGTGAGATCCTTTGGATGGGTGGTGCAAAACAGTTTTGTCTAAATGGTTGCAGTCAAAGGGAAATGTGTTGTGGAACTTTTGGGCCAAAAACTAAAGATGCATAAGAGAGTGGTAATCCCGGCAAATGGCGTCTAAATGCCCAAGTTCTCCCAGAGGCACTCGAAGTGCTCTAAACGTCCCCCGCCGCTTATAAATGGCTGGGTATTTATATTTTTCATTTGCTGGAATAGACCCAACTTTTTGCTAAGTTTTGAAAATTTTTCCAGCAAACACCCAGGCAATTTTCCATGTCAGAAAGCAGCTGCTCCCAGTGCACTTTCCGCCACAGAACCCATCATTTAAATTACGAAATTTCAGCTGCTCAGGCATCAATCAACAGCGGCCAGTGAATGTATTAGTTTAGACCAAGGCAACTTTTATAATTAGCTTTTCCAAAGAAAATGTGAAGTGTAAGGTAATCTAATTGAAGCCAAAGAAGCCTCTGACCCAAAAACGTCCTCTAATCAAGCAAATAAATTGGGACTTATCTCGAGCCCTTTGTATCATCGCTTTCAATAAACTTTTCAGACTCTTCGGTTGAACTTTCCCAGTGCAAGTTCCCAGATGAGACCGACAATTAGTTTTTCCCAGACTAATCAGGCCTTTGAAGTGGCTTTCTAAATGCATTCAGTCATTAGACATCCCCCGCAGATGCTTCATGCATTTTGAAACTGGCTCAAATTGTGTCCTGGCATATGTGATTAGTAATTTAGTTCGATTGATTCGATGCTCGTGGTATATCCTTTCAGACGACCGGAAACAGGAAGCTGTCCCGAAGCGAGACACAGCCATCTCTCGACGCAATTAATTTAGAATTTTTGCAATACAATTTGGTTACCCAGTCAGGAAATTGACAGACATTATTGCTGTCAGGTGCACTGGCTCCCTTGAGGTGACTGTATGTCCAAGACAGAGTTTTGAAAATATAAAACACTTAAAGCTAAAGTAATTAATTGTGTTTCATTAAAATCAGCTCTAAAAATTATATTTATTTTCCGCAAACCGAATATTAATTCCATTGTAAGCTGAAATTTAATAA